GAAAGGAAAGGAAAGGAAAGGAAAGGAAAGGAAAGGAAAGGAAAGGAAAGGAAAGGAAAGGAAAAACTAAACCAAACCAAACCAAACCAAAGTGCTTTTTGGATTAATAAAATTAATCTTTAGTGCATTTGCCTGCTTAAATTTTATCCATTCAGAAATTTTATTTTCTAGACTCACCAAAAAAGCACACAACATATAGAAACTGATGAAATAAATAATGGCAAAATTGCTTCCACATGTTTCTCCAGGGTTAAAATCAGATTCTGGGTCACAACGTTTTCCTGGCATGCAAGCCAACATAATCTCTTGCCAAGCCTCTCCTGTGGCACACCTTTAATGTGGAAGAAAGGAAGATAAAATGAGGCAAATAATACTGTTTCCACCAGAACATTACTGCTACTGTTTCCTAATAATGGTCCCAGGCAATGTAGGTGAGGGGACAGTAAGGAGATGTCATGTTATATTGTTTATTGAAAAATATATTCAACCTTCATGTACTGCTTCCAGTGAAAAATCTTGAAAGTATAGCTGCACTGATTTTATCACTATTAAAGGTACTATGCAGGTTTGTTTATTTTTGTTTTTTTTTAGCAATTATTTTGTTGTGTTTCAGCCCACATACATTTAGGGGTTACATGAATAATAAGCAGCCCAGAAGTACAAGAACATACAAAACTTCTATTACACTATATCATTAGGTAACCACTGAGAACGACACAGTGCGAGAAGTATCCTAGCTCTCCTAAGTTCCTGCTTACAAGCAATCCATGAATCCATTCCCTGCACCAGTGCAGGCTACTTATGGCAAGCAAAAGCAAAGAACTGCCATGAATCCATTGTGTGAATCTCTGTCAGACAAAGAGAAGGAAGAAGGGCTAGAAGGGGAGTTCATGAAGCCTGAGGGCAATGTCTCTCCTGCAGCCTCAGAAAGAGTCAGGAATTCTGGGACAGAAGCAACTTCTACCCTGTCCCTGAAAACATTCCACAACCCCAAACCACAAGAATAATATTGTGGGACAATGACCAGAGTGATGCAAAAATGCAAATCTTCAAGGCCAAACTTCTTACAAGTACAGATTTAGTTGGGAGCCAATAATTTCTTCTCAGGAGATCTTGTTTTCCAACATTTAGTAAACACCAATTGAATTTGGATGGAGTCTTCTGTTGCCTATGCATAAAAGCCTTGGGCAAAAGCTGCACTCGCTCCCAGCATGCTTCTGTGAGCAATTCAGGATGCTGGTTATCACATTTAAAGCCCTGCATGGGACAGGGACAGGATACTTGCAGGACTGTCTGTCTCTGATGGTCCCTGCTCATCTGTCAGTTCTTTGAGGTTGATCAGATCAGGAAACTAACTCCACAAGATGACTAGAACTATGCTTTATTGAGATAGGCTATTTAACAGAATCTTGAAAGCCTATGTTTTTCCTTCCTTCCCTCTTATACTTCAGGGAGTCAGGGTAGAGCCAGGCTGAGCCTCTTCCTAATGCTTTCCTTGTTTCACAAATTTAAACATGTTTTTGCACATGTTGTAACTGTCTCTGAACAGTTTCTTCAAGATCATCTCTGTTGCTCCCTACCAGATAGGACGGGGCAGGTGTGCTCTAAGTCCCTTCTATTAAATAATGTCATTTGTTGGAGTGAGGACTTGTGCCTTCTCTATTATGGCACCTACCCTACGGAACAGTCTCCTGCTGAGATCTGCAGGGCTCCCACCCTCCTGGCCTTCCAGAAGATTGTGATGGCTTGGCTTTTCCCCCAGGTGTTGGGCCAGGAAGTTAGATGAGCCCAATGTAAGTGTGGTTTATGTGGTTGAGCCTGTTATATGGTGCTTGACTACTGTGTTATGAATATTTTAATTCTGTTTTTTATTTGATTTATAGAGGTTTTATTCTATTGCATTTGTTGATTGTTGTCAGTCACCCAGAATTCATACACAAGACAGATAGCCATACCATTTTTCTTAAATAAATAAAGCCAATTTCAAGAGAGTATTAGCTACAGTCTTCCTTTGCATAGGTATCTGGGAAAAAATGTGTGGATGAAAAAAAATTGTATTTGCATCCCAACATTGGGTGCAGATATGTAAGTCACATGGTTTGTGTTGTGTTGTCATAATGTAGGTTTCATCATTTGCTCTCCTATGCCACTACACCCAGCCCCTGGCAACCTGTGTAGAGAAACTCTGATCAAATGTTCTTAGTCTGAACTTTAGTCAGCTGCTTAACTAGCTTATATATTTTCTAATTGTACAGTATGACCTATACACAGGCTTTCTTCCCTGCTTTTCCTATGAATGTCCCAGCTTTTAATTTGTTGACGATGTTCCTTGCCACCCCATTGGACAGTACAGGGATACAGCAGCTACTGAATGTATAATCTCAACACCGAAATACCTAACCGTACCATCATGTTATTTGGGACAGTAAGGGAGGAAATGTGGACAGAACATGATTAAGCTACTCAAATTGCCTTTTAGCTCTCATGCGATTTCTACTCATATTCAATTACAAGTTCTCACATTGACCTTTGGCAATCAACATATTAATTGGAAGTCACTGCAGGGTATCTCCTGCCAATCCTTTCTCTTTTTCTGTTAGCCACTGATGACCACATAAAATATATCTACCCATGGACTGGCCTTTTCTGCTTTCTGCAAAGTAGAAAACATGACAATAGTTTCAGGCTGTTTATAATGTAGTAGAAGTTAAGGTGGATATTTTCACTTCTTTTAAAGTAAAGCATCGGAAATCTGAAAAATCATATCTCATTAAAAATCACCAAATAGTAGTGAACCAAGAAACAAACAAGAATATGGCATTTCTTATATTCTAGTTTCTTCTCCATTGCTTTTAACTTATTGGGCAGACTAAACATATGTGGATTACTCAGAAATTCCAGCAGAAGCATCAGAATGATTCACCTGATGTCCCATCTTAGATTAAGATACACTAAATATTTCACTTGTTTATAACCTATAAATTATCTATACCTTTGAAGGAATAGGAGATTAGTTACTTATGCTAAGTATAAGGAAGAGTTTTATCACAACCTACCACAAAAACCCTCCACACATTTTGAATTCTACACCAGTAACAATAAACAAACCAACTCTACCGGAAGAGAAGCAGCACCGCTTGGGGAAAGGTTTGAAAGTTGTTGTTCCTGTTAATTTGACTGCCATCTTTCAGAGCAACTTTGCCAAATACCTGAAAGAGAAGTAACAGCTTACCCACTGTAACCTTTTGCAGTTCTGATAAGCCCAACCATTGGTTTTCTGCAGTGTTGAGTCAGATGATTCTGGGATGCTTGTAATGATGAGCCCTTCCCTATTTTTGAACCCCAATAATTAGAATTTACTGGCACATTGACCATTAGACATAATTGTCAGGTTTCACATGAGAGGTTGGGAGTAAATCCCAGCTCTCCAGGTGCTTAATCCCTTATTCAGGAATATTTTATTCAGCAGAAGACTTCTAGATATGATTCAACTGGATTAAACTCTATTGCAGACAAAAATGAAGCTATATAAATATAGATAATTTGCCCTCTGCAGGGTAAAGAAGTCAGTGCCTTTATATAGGTCTCTGCTCCAGTTAAAAGATTTATCTAGATGTTTTCTTCCCATCTTTCTTAGTTAACTGATGCTTGGGCAGCTTAGACATATTTACATAATGGTTTTCTCTAGTGTGCAAAACACTGGTTGCCACCTTGCCACATTCGGCCTTTGCACCACCTCCTTCTCTATTTTCTCCTCCCCTTCTGTGCCACGTCTCTTATTCCCTCCTGGCTGTGGCTGGCTGGAGGGCATTTCCATTTCCATTTCCATCAGCTGGAGCTGAGAACCCTCCCCCTTTTAGGCCTCTCCATCCCTCTTGCCTAACTGAAGATAGTAAGAAGTGAGGAGAAGGAATTTCTATTTCTTCTTCCATTGCAGCTGATGTCATCTATACTCTCATTCAGACCTCTCTACCTCTCCTTCCCCCTAACACTGAGCAGGAAGGGGGAGTATTTCCATCCTTCCTATTTCTTCATCAGGAACTTCCCATTCCAGAACTTTCTCTCATCTTGGAGTACAGTAGTTTCTGGTTAGTTGTACAAACCTCCCTCCCCACTTACATTCACAAAAGAATACCTTAGACTGGCTTAAACAGGCTGGCAATGAGAAGGAATCTATAAGAAAACCACACACCCTCATTGCCCTGGTGAAAAGACAGCCCATCAACCATTTCCCAAGCACATCTTCATGCCTCTGCCTGTATCCCAGTGTCATATCACAGCTGAGGCAGCCTAAGGACAGCTTAAGGTGCTATGCTCTGAAAGTGGATGCTTCCCTAATATTGGTCCTCAAGATGCTGAGTTTCAGCTTTGTAGGGGTGGCTTTGTTTGTTTCATCATGCTGCCAACCCATTGGTTTATTAGCAAGCAGCCAAGAGATTAAATTTTAACTCTTTGCTGCCACATTGTAATCAAGTAGTTGACCCACAGCTTTAAGATTTTTTAACAGTAATTAATCAGTTGATGAGTGCATGGAGTAGTCACCAGAACACTGTGCATGCCGACTGGAGGAGGCATTTCACTGGATGGATGATGTTGGGTTGGACTGGAATTTGAGTCTTAATATGATATACAGACAGCAGCATAACACAGACTCATTCTGGTGCATAGTACTAGCCCCACTAGGTAGACCAGAACAGGAAATCAACTCCACAGGAAGGCCAAAACGGCTTCCTCCTCCTTATAGTTTAGAATTAAGGAGGCATCTGCCTGAGCTAATTCCAAACATTATCTGGACATTCTGGACTTAATTCTTTGGCCAAGGTAACAGTTCCTACATATCTCCATCAAGGACATCTTCCTTACTCTCTACACTGGCAGGCATATATTATGGAGGCAGCAAGTTTTATAATGGCATGATTTCCTGACAGGAGGGGAGCACAGCAAAGCAGCTGTTTAGTTGTGGCCTATATTGTGAAGAAATATCCCTAAAAATGGTTTGTGGGGCATCTTTGTACTATGACAAGCAGGCCTCGAGCGAGACTGAGTGAAGGAAAGTAGTACAGTTGTAAGAAGTAGGAAAGGAAACTGAAATAAGATGGAGAAAAAGTAATGGAAAATAAAACAGTGGACTGAAATTCTCACCCCACCAAGCAATCTTTGAGGACTTACTTATAGCTTTTATACACTCTCGTGAGCTTCATTTTCCCCAGCCTCTGAACTAAAAAGTGCCAAATGTTTCTGCCTTTTGTTAAGGAGAAGTTAGTTTAGTCCTTCAAAAAGTTTACAGTATTATATTTTTCTGCATCTTTTCTAACTCTGTAATAGGTGATATTTAAAGAAAGATCCTATTTATATTTACATAGTGTGTTGTGCTATCTTCAATCCTAATTCATAACATGTAATTTTTCTCTTTCACTGTTATCATGCTTTAATTAATCACTAACTGTTTAATTGGTGTACCTATCACTATGTCAATTGCCATGTTATTGCCTCTTTACAAGCTTTCATCATCCAGAATAATGTGTTGTAATATACCGACTTCACTGTCCATACCAATTCCATGTCATTTATGAATGAATTAAATAGCATTGGCCCCAATTCAGTGGAGGTATTAAAAAAAAAAAACTTATCCTATAACTGCTAAGTTTGCCCAGGAGTCTTAATGAAAGTGTTAGCACCAAATCAGCACATTCTCCATGTAAGTAAATATTCTAACACAGATTGGCAAGAGAGTGTCATGCCCCCTCCCCACAAGTGTTCTTCAGCACAGTTTGTTCTTCTACGTGTTCAATAACTGGCTTTCATCATACATTTCTCCATCAGGGAAAAAAACGTTTTTTAATTACCTGCATTCCAATAACCGCATAGATGAAAAACAACATAGCTATCAGAAGAGCAACATATGGTAGAGCCTAAAATGAAAAAAAGTTTTAAAATAATAACTTGCATCTCTTTTTGAAGCTGTTATGCATGGGCTTTATACATTTTTCTATTTTTAATTTCCACTGTACAGAAATATACTACGAGTAGCAGGGAAAGCTCTACAGCTATTTAAAATGCTATCAACACATGAAACTATGTGGTGCTAAATTATGCTCATTTGTCAGCTTAGTTCAGTGTTGCCTGCTCTTTTGGATGGTGACTCAGCTTAAAGCAGAGATAATCAGAGTGTAGACTGGAATCTACTGGCAGATTTTGAACAATTTGTAATAGGTTACAGCAGATTTTCTTAATAATAGCAACAATTAAAATATTTTTTTGTCGCAAAATACAGTTGATTAAAACCCAGTAGTCAAATTTTGTGGGAAAGCAGTTGTGAAATTTCTGGATTAAGAACATAGAATCTGTTTCTTAGCTCCTAGTGATGTGTGCCTGTCTGCCAGAGCTATTATTTTGTAGTTGGTTCCAGTAAGTGGATCTCAAGGTTCATAACCATGTCCCAACTATTTCATAAAACACAAAGTAGATGCTGTAAATCTGAGGTTTGCTCATTTCTGATCTAAGGTGTATAGTGGAAATGTATTTTCCAGTGTTGTTACCTATAAGGCTGGGCATTACACACTGTGACCTCTACATATCTTTATCACTTGTTCACAAGTTCTCCAAGAATTGGCAAAGGTGGGATTCAAGCAAGCAAAACATAGTGGATTGGAAAGTCATTGTCTCACTCACTTGACAAACTCACAGAAAATGTACTGCAAACAAATGTCCATGGCTGTTCCCAAATAGACTTGAACTACCTATCCGCCAAGATCATCCCATTATTAACCTATGTAGCTGGAATTTGGGGTTCTTTGGTAACCCCGTCCTTAGAAATACCACAAAACAAATTTTTAAGAAGAATTCTTCTGGTTGGACCAACGGTTCCAGCCAGCGCCGTTAGGGCAGAAACAGGTATTTTCTCATTAAGTGTATCTGCCCTATTAAAAGTAGTAAAATATTGGAGACGATTGATTGAGATGGAGGAGTTTAGACTGCCAAAACAATGCTTCTTAGAACAATTGTCAGCTCCCGAGATCACCAATTGGGTTGGACTTTTGTATAAAGCTATAACAACTATGGGCCTCTCCCCCCTTTTACTTCAACCCCTTGGAGACCAGGCAGTTAAAATCATTAGACAAAGAGCACAAGATATTAGTGCTCAACAAGATATTGAAATCTTATCTGCTACGAAGTCGGTTGGCTTAGCCAGAAATAAGACTATTTTTGGTATAGAAAAGTATTTGACAGTCCCAACTCCCTTAATGTATCGCAAAATCTTTACACGATTAAGATTTAACCAGCTGGAAACTCAGGAAGTAACGGGCCGGTATGCAGGCATACCATATCAGGAGAGACTTTG